TATCTTGTTTGAAAGAAACCAGAGGCTCAGGGATAACGCTTTAGATATAGAATCTTCACATGAAAAAAAAAAAAAAAAGGCAGATGACCAAATCTTGGGCATCTTCTTGTCCATTTCTACTAATTTTGGTTTGTATAAGAACGATTTCATATCGAATCAATATGTGAAGAAATGCTGACTGTTTACAGTTTGCTCTCTATGATGATTATTTACTTTAAAAAGGAAATACTAAAAACTATGTATACATAAAAGTAAGTAAAAAGAACTTTTATGTCATTTTCCATTGTGAAAAACTGACAGTATCTTTTACATTATTTCGATCGAAGGATACTACCTATAGATGGTTTCTTTTATTTTCATACAATCTGAGGATTGTTTCCAGTTGTACTTGGAAGAGATTTCAGAAAACGTACGTGTTCTCAGCATTTATTTGTTAAGTAACAGCGAAACGATTTATGGTAATCTGTAATGTTGGGCCGCATACTCTTGTGAAAAAATATAACACAAGACACGTATAGACTTAATCATCTCACAGGCTGGTTTAAAAGGAAAAATCATGATTTTCTGAGGCATATGTTTTCTAAAAGCAAGATACCGACCACAGAAAGAGGTAACAGAAACAAAAGACGAAATATCCTAAATTAACATCAAAATTTACGAAATTCATTTCTACAAAATTCAAAACTGTACTTTAAACAATAAATAAGTTAATCCACTCCTAACTCCGGGTTATCAAAATCAAACAAATAAAGAAAAAGAAACACGACGCTTAAATTAAACTTTAAAAAATCGAAAGCCTACATACTATTTTGCACAAAGCTATACAATGAGCTATCTGTGCTCTGCCCACCACGGGTATCGAAACCCGGATTCTAGCGTTGTCAGTCCGCAGACATACCGCTGTGCCACTGGAGGGGGGAGCAATAACTTGAATCTCGAGTTTGCGTTTTTCATTATCTCAAGTTTTTCTTTGTTCCTTTTATTTTTGTGTTGTTCTTGTTTGCTATTTTGAAGATTACTTAAATCATATTCTTCATTTTACGAATGTGCTATTAATGTTGTAACTCAGTCCAAACAAACATTATAGACAGGTCAGGTATTCATAATAAAAAATAATCACCATGACATTATTTATTGTGAAAGTTTTTATCCCTTTCTTCAAAATGATATAATAAGAAACTTCCTTACGTATTTATCAAAACTGTTCCTTTGATGGGTGACAACTTAAACAAATATTACTTGTAGAACCTATAGATGATTAGTATGCAAAGTTACAGTTTAAAATCCAATATAACGTATGATAATTGGAATGATCTATTGTTTAAAGTTGGGTATTCCGAAAGTAAGCCACCTGCCCACTGTATTTTATACATGATAGTGTATATTGTACTTCTCTTTATCGGTAGACGGGATTTGATTGGTTAAGAATTTTAGAAGATTAGTACGCAAAATTACAGTTTAAAGATTCAAAACAATGTTGGGAAACAGGAATAATAAGATTGATTAACAGTTAGGTGGCCAGAAAGAGAAGCCCCTTTCCGATTTATTGCATACATGATCCTATATTTCCAACTTCTCTTTTTAAGTAGATGTAATGTGATGACGAAAAATCCACTTTGAAATATTAAAGTTTGAAGATGGCTTGAATGGTTAATGAAGAAAACTGATGATAACCAAACCATTCTCCAAACGTTATACAATGTTAAGTTTGTAATAAAGTTTTCTGCATTACCTATTAAAACCTTTATGGGTGTAATGTGGTCACAAAATTTCGGGTATTTAGTATGTTGTAGGCTATCAATCAATGCTTAATCTTCAGCTAAAACGACGAACATATTTACACACACAGTCTTGACATGCGTTTATCTCGCTTGTTGACGTCATACACTGGGACAAGCCACTGCATGTGTTCAGAAGACCGTGTTTATCTTAGCGCCATCTGTAGGTTGAGTTTCTTTCTAGACATATCGTTGCATCAGCTGTGTGGGGAAAGGAACTGCAAAACACATGACATTTAATTTAGAAATAGAAATTGTTAAAGTTTCAGTTGAGGTTTAAAACATGATTAACATTATGGTAAGTATTAGTATTTTATAATTAACTTTTGAAAGTTGAATATATATATTTTCAACGTAAGCAAGTTACTAGTGGTAATTAATTATAAGTCGAAACACAGGCGTTTTACGATAGCATTCAAAACAAAAGAAATATATTAACGTTAGTACTACTAAATTAACTGTAACTATTAATATTGCTAAATACTTGTTTAAATTGGTAATTGCATACTGTAAAAATAATTTTATGGTTTTTATATTGTCAAGGATTTAGATATCAACAATCGAGTTGTACAAGGTATAAATTAAGACTTTAAGTTGTGATCAAAAGCTACTACTAATACTTAGTAGAAGCAGTCTTCTTCACTTCTCTCAAACTGTTGAATGCAACAGCCCGTGGTAGCGACAATTGAGTCATCTCAACATTTCGAGTAACTTCGTTGGACTTTTTTTACACGCAACCTAATCCTTTAATTGAACATGCTTTACTATTATCGAAAAATTTACCTTAAATATTTGAGCCACGTAAAGACGCAATAAACACGTGCTCCTTAGAAAGTTGTGACCTTTACGCTTTGTGTTCAATTCAGGCATACAATTACAACTCAAGACGACAAAGCTACGAAGTCTAGCCTAGTTCTAGTACTAGTAGTAGCAATAGTCAAAAACATATTTAGGGTACACATACTGTATTAAAATTTGAGGAGTCTTTATGATTACGTTACTAGTTCAGTAGTACTGTACATTACTGCACTGTTAGCTAACCTATAATCTACTTCGAAACTTGGTCTTCGATCTACATTCAATGTGTCATCCATTTTATCCTCTTGTTTGATCCATTCGATAGTTTACTGCAGTAAGCCTACGCCCTTACAAAGTATGTCGACTAAGATAAGCGACATCTATTGGTCGTGTATCGTTGATTTGATAATATTTATTTGTTCTCATTAAAAAGAACTGACAACAAAAAATTACGGTTTAAACATTGAAAGCCGGCGAACTGTTGAAAACCAATAGCCTACAAATTGGTATAAAAATTAAGTTAATTGCAGATGTTTTTTTTTACATTCCTATCAATTTGGCTGATTTTGAGCCGCAATGGACAAATCCTAAAGAGGAATTTGTTTATATGTAGTTGAGCACAAAGCTACACAAAGGGCTATCTGTGCTCTGCCCACCACGAGTATCGAAACCCGGTTTCTAGTGGTGTAAGTCCACAGACATACCGTTGTGCCACTGGAGGGCAGAGGAAGGTGGAAAAAAAAATAACTGCAGTAACATGATTTTCATTACAATAGTTTTTTTTTCTGTTTTCAAAATCATATAATATTAAATATTTTTTTATGAGATGATGTAAAGCAGTTTTTATGTCGACTTCTGTTTATATCTGAATAAGCTGAATATTCCAAGCAAATATTTAAGAATACTTCTGAAAGTAATTATAAATATAAACCAATATCCTATTAAATGACATTACTTGTAATATGAAATATAAACATTATTTACTGTGAACTAAGTCTAATTATTTAGTAATGTAAAGCTGGAACATGTTTTTGTTTTTTGTAACTACTGGCTACTCGTTTTTACGCCATTTTTTTGTTTCAGCTTCTGTACGTCACTCGGAAATAAGGTTTAAAAAATTAATCAGTATGCGAGCAATACTTACGAACAAATAAAATGGAGAAACTGCGTCTGTAATAAATAGCTTAGGATAAAGGATCAGATCAAACATCGCTTGAATTTTATTGTCATTTCTGTTACATTTCAGTCAATAACCGTTCGCCAGACTATTCAGCAAAGTAAGCTATTGCTAAATAGTTTAAAACGTAGAATTATAGTTGGAAACACCTAACTGTTTGAAATTATCATGCAATTGACAGCCTACTGTAATATTTCAAGTGAAACTGCAGTAAGTACATTTCTAGAGGTCCGCCGGTGGGTAACTCTCTGAACTTACAATGCTAAAGTCTAGGGTTCGACGATTATCCGCAGATAGCCTTTTTTTTCTTTTTTTTTTTTTTGCTTTGCGCTAAAAAAAACTAACAACAACATTCTGAAGCGTGCGTTGGCCCTGTGCTAGAGCTCTGGATTTCTGGAATCCGTCGATACCACAAAATATTCCTGCACTTTAAGCTGTTTAGTTTTATCATATCAATGAATATAATTACGATATGTAATTGCTTTAGTTGAGTAAGAAAACATTGGTTAATGTTATCAAGAAATAAACTGATTTAACTGAAACAAAATCACGAGTATTAGGCTTATTATATTTTTGAAAATCACATTCTTTACTTAGTTTCTTAGTTTTTTTTTCAAAAATAGGAAGAGTGTATCATAGTATTTCAACCACACTGTGTACGATATATCATATAGTGTGGTTGAAATACTATTATACACTATTTTTTCTTGAAATACTTCAATATCCTGATTATAACAGTTAGCTCCGTAAATGAAGACAAAGATGTTCTCGATGGTAGCAGAAAGTATTGGTTATTTTGATTTCTTGTTCCTAATTCTCAGATTGGTGGGACTGGCAACATCTGATAAGAAGTGTCAAGAGTTGTCTTTAGAAAGATTTTAAATTTCAAATAGTCTTCTTAAAGGGGACAAGTCCCCTCTCAGTCTCTCCCCCTTGAATGGCTCTCAAATATCCACACTCCTTTGGACTCCCTCAGCCTCGAAAATTCTGGTTCCGCCCCTGAATATAGTGAGAATATTTAAATCTTGAAATAATAGCTTATTTACAAAAGTAAATAACAAACCAGTTTTCACAGTTATTCATTATTTTAAAAATGATCCACTCTAGTAATTTTAATACCAATATTTCGGGAGTTTTAATACAAAAGGTTTATGAAAAATGTTTATTAGTTTGAAAATGAATGAATGAATGAAATGTGTCCCACTTGATTGGAATACATTTGATTTAATGATGATGTTTATAATTCATTAATACTTTCCCTTTATAATCATAATGTTTTTAAATATTTCAGGTAATTGGTGCTAATCCGTAATACAGACTATTATAAAAAAGCGAGTTCCTTGTACTTTTAAGTGAATAGTGTGACTTGGACAAAACAAAATAAAGCATGAACATCCAACGAAAACTATTTATTATCAGGCATGCTGAAAGAGTGGACTTTACTTTTGGTGCGTGGATACCCAAATGTTTTGATTGTTCAGGTAATTGTTTTAAAAAATAAACCACTAAGTTATAATTAAATTTTATATTTTAATATGCAATGTGGCAGCGTGGTACTCTATGTACTTGATTGTTATACAACAATAAGTCAATTTCACCCTTCAATATATAACTAGTTTCTAATATATTTGTCATAAGGTGTATTTTATTTATTTTCGTGTGTACTGTGTGTAGTTAATGACATATGTGTAAATTGTATTTGGAAAGTTCGTAAACACGTACCAATCCTTTTCCTTAAATAAGGTTACATGTGGCAATAGCTATCTCATTGTTTTATTGAAATCATAATATGGACCCTTCCATGCTCCTTATCACATTTTACATGTCTCGTCAAACTTCACTTCTTCTTAATTTCAATATTTCGATCCTTTAACCAATTTTCTGAAATGTGTATTTAGCATTACCTAAGTAGTATAAATGCTTCAATGTCCTGAAAGTTAAAGAATTTGGGGATGTATACTCACTGGCCACATTTTTATGACCACTCACACTCATAGATGCATCATGGTTAGTTTTTGTCTAGCAGGTGTATTATTATGAAAGACCTTTTATATGAACTGTTGATCAAAGACATATCTCTTAAGAGTCTATCAAGAATAGCAGTCAAAATACATATGATATTGTGGTGGGCCTGGTGGCCACCCATCTGAAACTAATCGAGGAAAAAGACGTTGCAATACACGTTATAATGTGTCCCATTATACTGATTCAGGGTCCCACCTCAAACCGTACTCTTTGAAGGATATTACAAGAACGGCCATGTGGTAATCAACAATTACCCTGAAAAACCGCTTATCTCAGATGTTAACAGGAAAACACGGCATTTCTAGTACCTAAAGCGCTATCTGTACAGAGTGACTAAATGAAAGTGTGTGATATAGTGTTACAAGTTGCATTTAACTATTTTCTGTATTTCTCATAGAATTTAAATATGGAGGAAACTACATTAAGTGTTTGATACTACTCGTGCTATTACGGCAGTGCAAATAGCTAGAAGAGATGTTATGGTATGGGGCGAGTTCTAACGGCAAGAAGGGTAAGATCCCTTAACACACACACAGCATCCAGAGCACACCTGAATGTTGTTGCTGATAATGTCCACCCAATAATTCTGTATTTCCATCCAGGTATGGAAGAACCATTCCTAAAGAATAACGCAAAAGTCTATGTACTTGTGTAAAATTAATTCACAGACAGTGTCAGAGCGTTCAATCAACTTTCTTGTACAGATCAGGGATCGGAAAACAGTCAGATTAAGCATCTTTGAGATGAATTTGAATAATGCATTCGCTAATTTTCTTAGGACATCTGTTAACCAATTTCAGACCATACTCCTCGATGAATGGGTTACAAAAGACCTTGTAGTATTGTGTAGAGTTTGTTATTAAGAACTTTCGATCACGTCGATTTCAGACTACTGTCGAGGCGAGAGTTGGTTCAATTCAGTATTAGGTGGAACTCCTAATAGAGTGGCCAATGTGTATTTCCTAAGCATTATTATTATTTATAGATTAATATGTATTTTCTAAGCATTATTATTTATAGATTTATAATTATTCTATTTTTTAGTAATATTGTGCTGTTATACAAATGTCAGCATGTTTTAAAGAATTATAATAATAATTTTACAGTAAGTTAGTAAATAAGTGTCCTACGGTGGCTCAGCGGTAAATAGGACGGGTTATTACACTAAAAATCGGGTTTCAATACTCGCTGTGGGCAAAGCACAGTTAACTCTTATATTTTTTTGCGCTTAACAACAAACAAACAATTAAATAAATGAGCATCTGTTTTTATTACATTGTTAGTGTAACATTTTCAACTAAATAATGTACTAATTATTGTACCTTTCATTTAAATAAAACAGGAAAATATGTCAGACAGAATCTAAATATGCCATCATCAGTTCCTGTTCGATCTGGTGGTCCACAAGCTTTCTTCAAAGATTGTCCATTAACCAATATAGGACTTCATCAAGCCACACTTACAGGTAATCTCTTTCAAAAAGTACTAATTACCTTAATAGATCATTGCAAAGCATTTAGACAATTGCAAATTTGAATAATTAAACAATAATTCAATAATGAAAACAACGAAATGTACTTATTAAAATAACAGCACACGGAAAAGGTTTTTTTCATATAAGGATTATAAACTTTGAAATAATATGATAATGCATGAATAAAACATTAACAGTAGTATGGAATTATATTTTAAAACTAAAATATTCAACGTTCACGAAAAGTAAGTGTAATAGTTTTAATAACTAGTGTTTCGTGTTATATCAAAAATTTCGTTTGCTTCCAGTTATAGGAATTGTGTGCTAGAATCTACAGAAACGACAGGTAAAAACTGCATCCTTTGCGTTTCGTAAGATTAAGCGTGGCCAAGTTGTTATTGTGCCGGACTGTGGATCTGAGGTTGTATGGTTCTCACCCTGTCACCACGATAATAATAATCGCGCTTCTCACTTCTAAACCGTGGATGGGCTGTAACCCTAAGGTGCCATTAACTAATGTCTATATCTCTTGATTGTTTCGAGTAACATATTTGTGATATGTAGGCAAAATAACCTAATGATTGATTTTTAACTAAATATTATAAAATTCTGGACCTAAACGTACTCATATTAGTAAAATATATGGACTAGTACAAAAACTGTGATTCTTCGTGAACTAGACGATAATCAATGCACTTGAATACATAGATGTGTATGACTTTGACGCAAACGTCGCTGGTGATATTTGTAATGATGTATCGTTTAAAAGTAAGGAGAAACACAAGTGCAACAAACGAACATGCAAAGGATGACATTTATAAGACTGTAAGGATCACATGCGTCACTTGGGTTGACGATTGAATAATCTTCAGAATAATATACACACACAAGAGAATTGACAATGTGAAATTTGTTTCCAAAGAAATAAAATGACTGCTTATCACATCGAATATTTTGGACAGGTGTGTACTGGAGTTTCTTTGACATGACTATGGGTTGAAATATTACATCGCATAAATACACTCCATTATTAAGAACGTTTTACAATTTGCAATATTTTATAAGAACTAAAATTCACGTAGCCTCTATAGAAGTTTCGTGGATAATAAGAATAGAAATTGGATACATAATGTATCTCTTTTGGCCATATGTTTGATAACTTCGCAATAGAATGGCTAAATGGGTTTTTCTCTCTCTCTGTGTCACTTTGAAAACTTCAAAATGATTTATCAGTAACCGGATCATCTTCCTTCCACATGTAAGTACTATCTCAGTAAATTTCATTTAAAAATTACATAATTTTGACTAGAAAAAATATTAATTTATACTAGAGGACACTGATATATCTACAAATGGTGAAATAAGTGTTTTGAACGACGTAACTTCAGTTTACTGCCAGTTTTTACGAAGGAAGATACGAATATTATGCCTCAGCCAGAGCGCTTAATGTATGGGGAAAATATTGATATAAAATATAAACTTTTAAGTTCTAAAATTGTAAGATAAAAATTGGGAACCTAAAAATTGATAAGTCCCCTGGAACTGACAACTTTTATCCTAGAGTTTTAAAGGAACTTTAATATTTTATTTGTGAACCACTACTTAAATTTTTACAGTTCATTGAGTAGTGGCAGAGTATTAGAAGACCGGAAGTTGGAAAATTTTAATCCAATATTTAAAGGAAATGATAAACATTATCAAGGCAATTATAGGCCAGTTAATCTTACTTCAGTAGCGGAAAGGTTTTGGAGAGTGTGATTAAAGGTACATTGCAGGATCACTTAAAGCAGTTTGATATAGTGTCGAAGAGTCAGCGTGGTTTCACTAAGGAAAAATGTTGTTTGACAAATCTTCTGACTTTCTTTGAGGACGTCAACAGCAGAGGACTTAGCACAGAGCCCTGAGACACACAACTTGTAACTATGATCCAGTCAGATCTAATTCCATTTATTACTATTCTCTGCTTTCTACCCTCCAGCCAATTTTTATCCCATTTAATAACAATTCCCCCGCACTCACAGATTTCATTTTTGTAACAAGTCTTTTGTGAGGCACTTTATCCAAAGCTTTCTGAAAATCGAGGTAAACCAAATCCACAGTATTTCTTTCATCAAATCTTGCAGTAAGGCCCAATGCATCAAATGATGCAAATCTCTTTGTAAGTCTGTCAGCCACCCCAAAAATCATAATTTCGTCTGCAAACTTCAATATTTCGTTAGTCATTCCAGAGTCAATATCATTAATATAAATCATTAAATACCTCAATCAAATCCACTCTGACCCTTAACTATTAGCCATATTGCTAGCTACAATACACTGTTTAGATGACTTAAGTGATTTTTCGATCACAATACCAAGATCTTTTTCTTCAACCACAGTATTTGATGTATTCCCCTTTAAATCATAACATACTTTGAATTGTGAAAACCTATATGCATCACCTTACATTTTGGATGGTTAAACATCATCTGGCACGTATTGATTATTAAGGATTATTAACTTTTTTGTGTCTAACTGTAAAAACAATAGGATAAGAGGTCATAAATTCAAATTTTGGCAGCGAAAGAATCGTCTAGAGTTTAGACAATATTACTTTTCAAACAGGGTGATTGACTTTTGGAATGAGCTACCTTCAAGGGTGGTGGTTTGTTTGTTTGTTTGTTTGTTTTTGAATTTTGCGCAAAGCTACACGAGGGCTATCTGCGCTAGCCGTCCCTAATTTAGCAGTGTAAGACTAGGGGAAGGCAGCTAGTCATCACCACCCACCGCCAACTCTTGGGCTACTCTTTTACCAACAAATAGTGGGATTCAAATTCGATGACGAGGAACCCACTTTGAGACTAATAATGCTTGGAGACGGCTTGAATTGGTCACATTATAACGCCCCCACGGCTGAAAGGGCGAGCATGTTTGGTGTGACGGGGATTCGAACCCGCGACCCGCAAATTGCGAGTCGAGCACCCTAACCACCTGGCCATGCCGGGCTACCAAGGGTGGTTGAGGCAGAAAATTTCACTGAGTTTAAGAAAAGATTGGATGAATACATGAGTAATAAGGAGTGGTTATAGTTGGAAACTAGAAGGACATCCTTGATGGGAAAATAAGCTCCTTTTTGTCTCTTTAAAATTTTATGAATTTATAAAGCTTTAAGAATGGATGGGGGTCACTGTTTGAACCACTCACACCACTATACAGTAGTGTGTTGTCTGTCAGTCAATCAGTAGACACTAAAATAACGTCACATAAGGGACGCTTAACGTTGCAATTTCTACTGTCATGACATCTGTAAAACGTGTGCATCCCAAGAATCACTAGAAGAAGTATGTACTCTGTAGGCTACAACATAGCATAACATATGAACTTCAAAAGTGAGAAATAAAAATATTTGTTAATCTTGATTATATTTACTCTTGAAACGGCACTTTCGAGGACCTTGCGGAAGTACATCTAGTCTAATGGCTTGAAGACCAATCAAGTACAAGAAGTTTTATGAGTCCACACGTATTAAGGTACTAATTGCAGAATTTCTTCTCATTCTTACATCGTATCCACGGTTGTACTTAAGTGGATATTAATTGATTTCTCTGACTCTTGAAACATAAATCACGAGGCCCGGCATGGCCAGGTGATTAGGGCGCTCGACTCGCAATCTGAGGGTGATGATGACTAGCTGCCTTCTCTCTTGTCTTACACTGCTAAATTAGGGACGGCTAACGCGGATAGCCGTCGTGTAGCTTTGCGCGAAATTAAATTAAAAACAACAACAAAACATAAATCATGAGCTTAATTTGGAGGTTTTCGAAGTTGTTCCTTTAGTACTCTCAAAACAGTTTGTAACGTCAAATCAAAACCTGCACCACGTGAAAAGCCTCCTTGAGGACGCTCTTGTAATTTCAAATTTTTAATTCTATTTAAATTAGGTGAAGCTTTAAAGGAAGCGAGCATATCCTTTGTTGATGTTTACTCATCGCCCTCTCTTCGATGTATACAGACGTGCACCAATGTTTTGAACGGTAATACTTTACTTTCTCTTAGATGATAAAATTAGCAAACTAAATATAAAAACCGTTCTTCTCTAATTATCTCTAGAATTAGGAATTTACATTAGTAACTATTTTTATTTTGTTCACACAGTAAACACAAGGGAAGAAAAAACATTAGTTGTTACTTGATCTTTAACTCGCACGCAAGATTAGGCTGTTGTTATTTTTACTCTTAGCGTTAACAATAGGGAATTCCACCTATTTTGAATGTATCAAATACCCAATTAAGTCATTAGTGTAAAATATCGAATACACACTTGTACACTTAATGGTATTGTATTAACAAGCAATATCTGACTCAGAAGCAACAAATATGACCATTTTGGTAGGTGGTGTGGGATTCCATCGGATCCGGAAGTCAATGGCTGTATAGGGCATGATCCAGGGATTATTTTAACGTAATATTTTCTTTGGTTTAAGTACTCTTTAAATTATTGCTATCCTACCAAAGTGGACTTCCCGCACGTTATGGTCATGCTATTTTGCCATTATTTCAATACTCCCTTCTCCTCGTATCCTTATGATATTCTTATATTTCACTCAGAATAGTCTTCGTATTTTCCATTCTCTATCTTTTTCGTATGTATCGTTGATTTTCGCATCGGTTCGGCTTTGCTCTCTTCTCCATTTGAGGACAACTCGTCGAATATATTTATAAATTTACCCCTCCTGTACGCAAAAGTACCCCCCCCCCCTTCCCTCCATATTTTCTTGCATACAAAGAAACATTGGCAGATACTTACATGCATCTTAGGGTGGGCAATGATGAAAAGGGGAATTTAATATGGCAGTGGTGTGCGTAGTACTGTGCAAACCGTTGTTATTGAATTGTTTGTAGTATTATAAACCCTGAAGTTTATCGCTGAAACATCAGAGAGAATAGTTTAAACGTAAAAATGCGTTAGCTGAAATTTAAAAAAATTACCGATAAATTGTCAGTTAACAATTTTAAATACTAGTTTGTTTTTTAATGATACTCATTTCGCAAAAAAAATATTACAATACTATAATAATTACAACTTATACATGTCAACAAAAGTAAGCTAACATTTCATATTAAGAATAAAGAAAATACCAAACTTGGAAAATAGAATGTCAGTCTTTACTTTCTTTAAAAATGACAAGGGCACAGTGGTATGTCTGCGGATTTACAACGCTAGAAACCGGGTTTCGATACCCGTGGTGGGCAGAGCATAGATAACGATAGTGTGTAGCTTTGTGCTTAACTTCAAATAAACAAACAAACAAAAATGACAACAGCTTAAGAACTTCTGTTTTGTACATTAAAATAAAGTTAACAATTAATACATATATGTCTGAGATACGTGAGCCAATAGTATTTTTCGATACATTTAGATACCCAGTTGTGTAGCTTTGAGTTAAAATCAAGTGTTTCCACTGTTTGAGATTAGTCTAAGTTCTAACGTATTTCTTGGTGTAAAATTATTGAATACATAAAAGGGATAACCTAATATTTTGTCAGTAGTGTGTTTTCCAAATCAGTTCTTTGTTTTAGTAATTTTGCATTAACACTTTTTTGGCTTAAAGTTCAAAATCATAGAGTTGTTTAAAAACCTTAGTTTGATCAACCTAACTCACTGGTTCCCAACATTTTTTTTTCACTGACAACATCCTAACCTACTCACTTTGATTTGCACGACACCCCTGGCAACTAATTGGGAACTGCTGATCTGACTTCAGTTTGACTAAAACATTCGAAGATTATAATTTATTTTTCTTCTGCTAGCAATACAAAAGCAAAAATATAATTCAGCATTTTTATAGGCTTAAATTAACTGAATAACAGCCATTTTTAATATAGAGTACAATTATTGTTCTTGTTTTAACTCAAAGCTACACAATGGGCTATGTGCTCTCAGTTCTCTGAGGAGAATCGAACTCCGAATCTTAACGTTGAAATTTCGAAAACTTACCGCTGGCCCACTGGGGGACATTGCATAGAATTATGTAGTGTGAGATAGATAAAGTGAAGACGTCAATAGGGACAATAAAAAAATAATGTATAGCTACGAAAATGATATAAGTGGAATTATTTGATAATAGACGTGTGTGTGTGTGTCCGCTTATAGTTGGGAACCACTGAATCTATTACCCTAAAACCTGACATATATCCTTACAGCCTCGCATAGAGTGATATAAAAGATGGCGTTTGAATCAGACTCCCCTGGAGCTCCATATGTCGTCCCCGTGCGTTTAAGTAGCACGTCAGCTATTTAGTTAAAACTAAATTAGGTGTTCGACATTTCGTAGTTGCTGGAATTTCCATCACTAAGAACTTGTATTCTTTTTAGTTGTTTTACATGAATTTTAATTTTAGGGCTTTTTAGTATATACATTACAAGTAATAAGAAATTCGCGTATCAGAATTTTACTTGCTTGACGTATCTTGTAGCTACCATCACAGTAAGGGTAAATAGTAAAATAAAACGATATAATTACTTTATGATTAAATAACAGTACTTATGTATAAAATGTTATTGTTTGTTATATATATAGGAATGGGTCAAACCGATCTTGCTATAAATCTTGAGCCTGGTCTGTTTGAATGGCTGGGTTGGTACCAAGATGGAATGCCAGAATGGATGACTATGGAAGAATTGAAAAACTGTCGCTTCAACATTAACGAGAAATACAAACCAGTTATTACAGAAAACGAAATTCGGAACAAAAACGAATCAGGAGAAGAGTATTACATGCGAAGTTATTATGTAACCCAAACATTATTAGAGAAATCCTGTCAACCAGGTAGGTTGTAATAATGTGTTATTGCAAATTCTTATTTTTTCTCACTCACAAGTTCGTAGAATTAGTTAGCAGAAACAGGTATATATGCATAGAGATAAAAATTAACTAAATAGAACAAAAGAACAAAATTGAATCAAAAACAAATTTGGAAAAATGTCTAGCGTTAATTATGTAATGAAAATGACAACGAAATACATGTGAAAAAATTCATATGGGAAACAAAACTAACTTAGTCATTTAAAAAATGTGGGAGGGGGTGTTAATTGGAAAGAAAGATAACGGAAAAGTGGAGGAAGGGGTAAATGGTATCTTGATATGGAACTATAGTGAAGAAAAGACACCAATAAGAAAATGGCAGAGAATACAGTAAAATCAAAAACCCAAAGGAGTAAGCCCGAATCAATTTAAAATGCATAGATTTATAAAATATGAAGCCATCTTGTGACTCAGTGGTAAATATGAGGGTTTGTAATGCTAAAAGTCGGGTTTCAATGCCCACAGCGAACAAAACACAGATAGCCTATTGTGTATTGTATG